TCAGCCCAAGCAGCCTCCCTCCCCAACCCCGCAGACCCTGCTCTTCCCCACCTCTAACCAGCTCTGGCCACCTGAGCCCTAGACTCATTGTTCTCCTGCACAGCCTTGCATATAGGAGCCCTGCAGGAACCAGGGCTTCTCTCCTGTTCCTGTGCTGAGCTCTGTGTCACGTCCTGCTGGTGCAGAGCCTGGCTCACTACGGGCACTCGGGAACCTGTGTTGGAGTAAGTGCATGAGAATGCAGCTCCAAGAATTCCCAGATCTTGATATCCAACACTGTAGCTGCAAGACGCACCTCTCATGGGATAGGACAGCAGATATCGCTGTCCAGAGCAGAAGAGCAGGCGTTATGAGGAGTCACTATGTCTCAGGGTTCCGTGGGGCTGTTGTCAAGCTTGGTGCCTCACGTCGTTTGGTGCCTTGAGGTATTTTCCAGTCTCTCACTGTGCCCAAGGCAGGCAACGCTGTCCAGGAGGCTGGGCCTTCAGCTGGCGGACACTGACTCCTAGCTGAGCTGTCGCATTTTCCTGGGCTGTTCTAATGGGGTCACTGCATATACAGCAAGGTGTGGGCACAAAAGAGAGATATTTTTAGTGCTATTTGTATAGGCAAGACTGAAGAAACCTATCTGGTAAAGAACATGCTCGGGAGAAGAACGTAGGATAAAAAGACCAGGGCTCTACTGATTTTCGTTACTGTTGTTAAAACTAAGCACATGAGAATAAGCAACAGAGCACCATGCGCGGGGCCTCGTGAGGCTGACCTAGCCAGCCAGGTGCACTGCCAAGGTCACCAACCTGCTGTCCTTGATCGGAAGGTGGCAGGCTTGCCTCACCCTCCGCTGGCCCAACCTGCATTGGGGGTCCTTTCCTGCTGGGCAGGGGTGAGATTCCATGAAGCCAGCCACACAGTCTGGGGGACAGCCTGCTACTGAGGCAGGGAGGAGCCAGGTGCTTTGGCCTTGGTCCTTGGCCTTTCCTGGTCCCGCCTTGACCCGTGGAGCTCCAGTGCAGAATGCTCCAGAAAGCCCAACCCACTCCGTCACTTGCTTTTCCTGAGACATTCCATAATGAGTCTGGGAAAATCAAGGATCAGGGAGGGGAAAGAAAGTGGATAACATGGGAGTGAAATGTGTTCTGACCAGCAGGTAAAACTAAGGACCCTGGGCAGAGAAGAATGTGTTTTAGGCACGAATTTCCACTTCAGTCCACCTAAGTTAGTCAGTGCCAGACAACCGCAGGCCCTCCTGTGGCGCTCCGCTCCCACCTGCCTTCCGGTCAGCTGCCCGGCAACCCGCGTCCTTGCTTCTTTCCTACAGGCCCCGGGCATGCAGCTGCCAACCCCAGGCTCCCTTCCCTCTGCGCCCTCATTCACCGGGACCCGTGCGGGACTGCCACGGAGAATTTCACCTTTTTACCCATCAGCTATTTCAATATAAAAGATCACAAAAATAGCAGGCTCAGGGGAGCTAGAAGCAAGGCTGCGTATTCCCCTGCTTGGGTCCAGCTCACCACCCTCATGCTGGTGTTTGGGAGAACATTCCTAACTTTGGAATAATTGCCCAAAGACAACAGTTGCCCCTTCCCATCCCTGCCCCGCCCCCGCCGCTGCCTGCCAGTACCCCAGTCAGAGCCAGGGCTCTGCTGAGGGGACTGCAAGACTAGGACACGGGACGCCAGGGAGCGTCTTCTTGCAGCCCCTGCACCTGTGACCAAGCCCTGGCCTCGGTGAAGAGTGTGCTTCCCGCCTGCCCTCGACCCTCCTGCTGCCCACTGCCTACCATCGCCGCCTGCACACCTCAGCCAGAGGGGAAAGCTTGTGTCCACCCCATCAGCACAACTTGTGTATGTGGAAAGGGAAGCGCTGTGGCCCAAGCTACGCTGCCATTGGCGCCCGTGGTTCCTACAGCGCCCAGTATGGAGCCGAGGGACGCAACTCCCTGCCAGCGTCATGGCTTGTCTGCAGCCCCGGGTTCCAGTGCAGCCTTCACCTTCCCTTCCCCCACACTCCGGACACCCGGTTGACGTGCAGATGTGGTGGGTCTGGCCTTGCTGCAGTACCCTGAGCTGCGTCCACGTCTCCCTTTCTTACTGAGGACACACAGACTCCGCGGCCTCTGGTTATCTGTCCTCGTATCCCGATGACCTTGTCCAGGGCCCTGCCTAGAGGACTAGCACAGTCAGTGCCCTTGGGAGAGAACTCAGCAGCTTAGCAGAATGAGCCGTAGCCGGGGACAATGACCTCGAGGTCTGTCTTCCCAACCTGCTTCTTTAAGTTCCCAGGCGTAAAATTAGAAGGAGGAGTAATAATGATTTAAGGGAGGTTTGATTTCTGGCAATGGACATGCCTGGTTGTGTTTCGAGGAGTTCGGATCATTCTGTGTCCCAGGCTGCTAACAGCGTAGCTTGCCGTTCACCTCTGACTGAGCCCACGGTCCGTCTACGGCGGAGCGCCAACTCACAGGTTAAACTTCCGCTTTTCCAACTTGGAAAAGCAGCTACAGCACACACCCGCTTACTCATGCTTCCCTTTCACTCATTCTTTCATTCACCTACTTATTCATTATTCCTTTAATAAATACTCACCCAGGACTTCCTCTGCCCCAGGTGCTGGGCTAGCCCCGCTGGTAGGCACCTAGCAGCTTCACTGCTGTATTCCGAGGACAAGCCCTCACTCCTTCATGGCCCGGGGGTGCTCGTGGCCATACTCTGCCCTGAGTTTTTCAGCTGGGGGCACAGGGGCCGCTTCCGTAATTGCTGGACATGCCTCAGAGCCAGGGTTGCCACGTACAGCCACACAGGCTGTGCATTGCACAACTCAGGGCTGTTTGCAGCAGGAAGTCCTGCGTTGGGCCCGGAACCCGCTGTCATCGTTTAGTCCATCAGGCTGTGCAGCTTGTTCAGATCCCACCAAGCTACACGACTCCATCAGCAAGGGCGCCGGTGCCACTGCCAAACCAGGACACCGGTCCTCGGCTGGCACCTCCCCCATCCAGGCTCCGCAAAGCTACAGCCATTTTGGCAGAGGGGACTTCCTTCTCCCTTGGGCCCAGCCAGCGGACCCAGTGTCCAGAGCTCAGCCCCTGCTTCTCCTGCAGACCCCGTGTGGGGAATGCAGAACACTGCCTTCTGGGTCCCCCTCGGTCTCTGTACTGCCCTCCCCACCCCCATGCAGCCTCTGACTTAATGGCCGGGGCACCGTTCACCAGACAACCACGGGAGACCCAAGAGGCTTTGCCGTTTAGGACCCACTGTGTGACTAGGATAAAGCATGCCACAGCCATGTTCCTCAGGCCAGGCTGGGGCTTCCCCAGAGTGTGGAAGTGAACTGCCTATTGGCTTCCTGACCAGCTGGGAGAGGTCCCTCTTCTTTTGTCCCAGCCACTCAAAAAGACATGCATCCATACATCCATACATGGCTACATAAAATTTTAAAACTGACAACAAACAAAAGACTAGTGACCAGGTGCCTCCGTTTTGCTCACTGCCCTACATGCCCCGGGACCCTAGCCGCAGTGATCAGTTCCAGCCTTGTCATCAACAGCGGTGATGGGCGGTCCCCAGAGGCCTATCAAGGCTCCTCCGCTCCAGTGAACAGCGTGGCATCCTTATGAAAACATAATGAAAACATTCCTAGGACAGTTGGATGATACACGAGGCTCTAAACCAGACAGCAGGCGAGCCCAGGAACTGGAGGCAGGGGCTTGGGTGTTGGGAGCATCTCTGCTACGTCTAAGGGCAGGCGGCTCCCTCTCGAGGCCTGCTTCTTCCTCTGTAGCACTGGCCAGGGCAAGTGCACGAGGCAGGAGGGAACTGGCATGCTCTGGCCGTGGACCCACAGCTCAGCCTTGACCGGAGGGGAACCGAGGGAGGGAATCTACAATGTGTCTCTGTGGGCCATAGGAAAAACCCATGGCGGGGTCAGGCAAGGACTGTGGGTAACTCATCCCAGCCTCTAACTGCACTCTGCAAATCCCAGCACATTTCACAAGTATCAGCATCTGGGAGGCATGGAGGGCAGTTGTGGCTGCCTGGAAACCAGATTCCTGACTTCCTGGCTGGAACATGTGTTGCATTTGATTTTTAAAAGGCTGTTTTCCTTTCTGGTGTGAGTGTGCGTGCGTGTGTGGGTGTGTATGTGCACATGCACAAGAGCTGGTGTGTCTGGCATGCACCGGGTCTCCATGCGTGTACTTTTCAAGATGAATGTGCACTTCTCCAGCTCCATGTGATTTCATGCCACGTGTGCTGGTGGAGATTTGGTTGATGACAAGCAGTCTCCGATTTTCCCATGTGGGATCCATCAGCTGGTCTGTATGTTGTAGGTGCCTGGGCCCATGAGAATGTCGGGGTATGAGTATCTACCTACAGCATCAACTAATTAGGCGTCGGATAGATTCCCAAGATGCTGTTAGCCACATCAGCTTTACTTGGTGGGGCTGTCCTGGCTTGAAACTAGGTTCTGCTGATCTCTCCACACACTTTTACCCAGTCTCCCTGCCAAGGGTGACCTACCTGCTGGCTTTCAAGGGCAGGACACACCCCTGGAATAGGAACAGGGTGTACAGCAGCTGGACCTGCGACTTCGGTCTCATTAGCTCCAAGACTTTGTGATCAAGGGAACGAGAGTGTGGCATGGCGGTGCCACCTTGCGTTTGCTGAGCGCTTTCTTATGAGCTTCCTCGTCCATTCAGCCAATATGTACTAAGCATCTCCTTCCTGCACATGTGGCCTCTCACAGAGAACAGGTGGGCAGAGAAGGACAGGTGATGTTGTTCCTGTTCCTGTCTTATAGTTTGTTGGGATGAAAACCAGAAATGGTGCTCAAGGTCCCTCTTCACTGACAGCTCCTGCACCCCCTCCTCAGGGAGTGTCTGCCAGCCCTGGTCTGTCTGTGGGTGACCCTTGAGATGGGCTGTGTGGGTGCCCGCACAGGGGTCCTCAGGACCCCCACGGGAGGAGCCCGAGGATCTCTCTGAGCTGCCACTGCTCCTTCCACAGAGTGGCGACAAGGAAGTGGGGCGAGGATGATCCTGCAGGATGAGGACATCACCACCAAGATCGAGAACGACTGGAAGCGACTGAACACCCTGGCCCATTACCAGGTGAGGGGACTGTGGAAGGGAGGAGGGGCTGGCTGGCAGGGCAGACAGTTCCCTGGTGGTCTCAGCCTGGAAGTAACAGGGGCCCCCCTGCCTAGAGGGAGACCAAACCCTACACACCAAGCCCTAAACTCCACTTCGTCACCAGCACCTCACGTTCCCTTAATGACCCAGAGAAAAGGGGTGTCCTCCAGCCAGGAAACCCTAGCCTCCTTTCAGATAGGGTGCTGACAGGCATGCGTCCTGCAGGGCATGGGCAGAGTCCCCAAGAGAAGCAGGCTCCTGGTTCCCCGGGTGAGACCCATCAGCAAGCCCGAGTGTTGGAGGCAGGTGGGCCCTTTCCTGGACGGTCCCTGGAGTTTGAGGCTGTGCGCTCTTGGGGAAGCATCAGGAGAGAGGGCGCTAGTGAGGAGCTCTTGCCAATGTCTCTCCAAGAGTGAGTCACAACACAGAAGACTGTTCAGTATCCAGATCTGTCTTCTTTCATTCAAAGGAGAGCCGACGGCTCCCAAGTTGCCTAGTCCTCTGCTGAGGCCCTGACAGCCCCTGAGGACAAGTTAACTCTGGTTTGCCTGCATTTGCTGGGGTGGCAGAGCTTCTGTGCACAGGCCCTGATGAGCTTTTCCCCGTAGGTGCCAGATGGTTCTGTGGTGGCTTTAGTGTCCAAGCAGGTGACGGCCTATAATGCAGTGAACAACTCCACAGTCTCCAGGACCTCAGCAAGTAAATACGGTGAGTTCACAGAATCATCCCAGGGAGGAGAGGATGCCCTGAGCAGCTCTTGTCCTCAAGTCACGATGCTGATACCATTGGAAGGCCGTGGACCCCGGGGGCAGGGAATTGGGGGGTGAGGCAGGCTGACCACAGAGTGGGAGAACCAGGCTGGGCAGGAGGCCCCTGGTTCCTGGCGGGATCTCCGATGCGGGAGCAGAACCTACATCCTCTGCCCCAAGAACAGGCAGAAACTCTAACCTTTGTGAGCATCTTACAGGCAAAAAGATGCTTTCATTTTCTGATATTCATTACTGTGCATCAAGTTCCTAACCATCCAGTGAATTAAATAATTATTATTTCCCCCTATTATGCAGATTAGCAAATTATAACTCAGATGCGCAGAGGCTACCCAACGTGTAAAGGTCACACTGTTATGAAGCACTTAAGGGAAGGTACAGGCCCCAGGCCGCTGGCTGTGTGGTGTCGGGGGAGGGAACTAGATGTGGGCTGGAAGCCCAGGTGCCACCCTGTTCTGCCACAATCTGTGTGCCTTAGGGCCAGCTGCCTGGCTGCTAGGAGACCCGGTTTTCTTACCAGCAAAACAGGGTTTGAAAAAAATGACCAAAATCACAGGATCATTCTGGAAAATCAATAGAAGAAAACATAGAACAGTGCCCCCACACAGTAGGTCCTTCATCGTTTTTTCTGCTCAACACCCATTTCACCAGACCTCACATTCAGCAAATAAGGGGGAAGAGCTGGCCCAGGCCAGAGCAGAGGGTGAAGGTGGGCAATTGACAAGACAATTACTCAGCTGGTCCGCAGTCATTAAGGGAGACAGGTTACCTGCTCTTACGTTTGTACTTAATTGGCTACACAGAACACATCCTGAGACATGACTCGAGAAGTCTTACAAGGAATAGTGTAAAAGAGGACAAGCTTATATTTTTACAAATTGAATAATTAAGGGCTGGCAAGAAGCAAGGAGGAGGGGAAGTGGAGTGGGTGAAGTGGCCACGGTTTCCTGGAGGTGGCAGGAAAGTCACGCCAGTTCCCCGGAAGGGACTGACCCAAGCCAAGGCAACAATGGCAGAAAATTGCAGGAAGGACCCGGCAGCAGCTGTAGCCTCGGTTGGAGCGGGGGGCGGGGGGCGGGGGGGAATGTTGTGAGCAAGGCAGGCTGAGTGGCCTCACACATGCGGCCCCTTGCGTCGGCAGAAAACATGATCCGGTACACCGGCAGTCCCGACAGCCTCCGCTCTCGCACTCCCATGATCACGCCCGACCTGGAGAGCGGAGTCAAGATGTGGCACCTGGTGAAGAACCACGAGCACGGGGACCAGAAGGAGGGTGACCGGGGGAGCAAGATGGTGTCTGAAATCTATCTGACACGACTGCTGGCCACTAAGGTATCGACTTCAGACAGGGGGAGGGGCCCACGTGGGTAGGGAAAGGGACCTCCCCACCCCCAAGAGGTGCCCCAGCTGCCAAGCCCCAGCATGTGTGCTGGTGCCTCTCTATCATCCGTGCATGGTGGGCGCTGCTCAGCAGCCCAGCACTCCTTCCGAGCTCAGAACCCCAGAACCCTTCTCAGCCCCGTGTTCCAAGCAAACCCCATCCATACGGCAGAGTCGGCGCGCAGTCCCAGGTTTTGTTTCCTTCTCTTTGCTCTGTCTCAAACACAGAGGCACTAGCTGCATCTCTTCGCATTCTTCTGTCATCCTTCTGAGAGAATGTCTCCTCTCTCTTGGTGTCATATACACTCCAGGGACGGGGATTGGGGCCCTAGCAGTGACCTCTGGGCACCGTTTCTCATCCCGGTTCTGGGGACGTCCTGTGCCTGCAGTGAGTCTGTCGCTCCAGAGGGTGGCCCGGACTTTGGTCTCTGCAGAGCCAAATGGGTAACTGTGCGTTAGCCGGAATGACTAATGCCCAAACAAAACCAGCAGATTGTGTTTGTCTGCTCTGACCAAGTGAGTTGTTCATTAGCATTTGTGGAAAGTGCTAAAATAACACCGCCAAAGGGTGTTAAACCAATCGCGTTGTTGGCAGAGGGAGGCTTGCTTAGGTCCAGTCATCAGTGGTATATCTATTTCCCACGTGCAGAGGGAATTTAAAGCTGTTAGAGACAGATGAAGGGGTGGGGAAGATGGAATACACGCACTTACCCGATTTCACCCAAGCTGGCCCGGCTCCACGCTGTCCTCCCATCCCGTCTGCACAGCAGGCTGTCAAACTGTCATCCCGAGAGCTCCCTGGGGGAGCTGTGTGTGAACTTGTGCCACCTCCCCAGGGCACACTGCAGAAGTTCGTGGACGACCTCTTTGAGACCATCTTCAGCACGGCGCACCGCGGCTCCGCCCTGCCCCTGGCCATCAAGTACATGTTTGACTTTCTGGATGAGCAGGCCGATAAGCATGGCATTCATGACCCGCATGTCCGTCACACCTGGAAAAGCAACTGGTGAGTGAAGGAAGAGCAGGGGGCTAGTCAGGGAGGCTGGCCAAGTTCATGGTCTGGCATGGCACTGGGGCCCGGCCAGAGACACCGACCACTAGGCCAGAGCCTGACAACAAGCCAATCTGTCTGCCGCCAGCTAAGGTTGCGCTTAGCAATCTTAGGCAGAGCTCTTCCAAAGAGGCATGTCCCCACCTACCGAATTTGCTCCTCTCTGCCAGTACATTTTCCTACTTACCAGCCTGTGTGAATATCAGCAGTCTGCAGACATCTCTTTGTCCGGCTGGGGACAGCTGGTATTTTCAAGATATCCCTACATGCCCTTGTAGCATGTTATAGATAAATCATTTGACTTAACATCTGGACTGTGCCTTTTCAGTTCATGCCTCCTGCTGGGGTAGGGCCATCACAGGATGTCCTAATGTCCTTGGGGTGGGAGCACAACCTCTCTCTGAGCCAGTTCTTCTGAGTACTCGGGTACTTGGTTCCTAGAAAACTTCAGTCCCCAGGAGGAAAGCCAGGCAGTGGACAGTACCAGGCTCAGGTACTGTCCAAGGGACACTCCCCTGACCCTCATTATTGCTACCCGGACAAGAAGCAGCGAGTCCAGGAACAATGAGATCTGCACGTTGACTTAGAGTTCATTGTCCCTGATTGGACAGAGATCGTTTCTTTATTCCTGGCCAAAGTTGTAACTCACCTTCTCCCCACTACCTTCTTCCACATTCCCCTACCTTCTCTTTTAAATAAACCTCCCGCTCATTTAGTCTGAGTGGCTGCAATCAACCAGAGATTAGTGCCACCGCTAATGTTAATAATATGTTAATATTTCATTAGGCAGGGGACTCGGTGTGGTGCCCTGGCTTCCCGGTTTGATTTGCCTGTCAGCACAACTGGCTTAAGGAGAGGGAGTGTTGGGGAGAGACAACTATGCAGCAGACATGGACTCTCAGGGCCCCTCCTCCGGGTGGGACTCCTGGAAACAGGAAGATGCGGACAGGAGACTGTATTGGCTGGGCAGCTGGGGGCCTTTCATCCAGGGCTCTGAGCCCAGCTGTCGCGGTCTCCCTGGGGCAGCTGCTGTGACCCCGACTTCCTCCCCCGTGTCATGACTCCCCTTTTATTTCCTATCTGAATTTCCTGGGATGAAACAGGTGCCACTTAACAGTGTCAGAACTCAGTGCTGCCTGCCCACGACCGGCGAGGCACACTTTATAGGAATGTAAATACTTGTTGATGGATTGGTAGTTTCAAATGTGAGGTCTGACTTATTTATAGCATTTGTTGTACACATGTACCGACTGCTGGGAAATACAACAGTTATAGAAATACTTTACTCACTGTATTGAAATAATGTAATTTGAAGAGTTTTAAGTTCTAAGAGGCAAGCCAAACACATAGGAACATTATAACTATTACAAGCAATGAGAAAGGCAACCAAAATAATAATAAAACATCAGGGAAGTGGCAGGAGAGGAGGTGGGGGCAGAGAGAAGGAAATAGCGATCCCTTGCTTGGTGCCACCCTGCTTCCTCACCTGCATCTTGGTGGCCGGATGGAAGCCACAGAATCAGAGAGCCAGCAGAGGACAGCACAGAGGGCAAGCGGACAGGCTTCTCCCAATGCCCAGAAACACTTTCTAGCAACAGAAAAGACTGATAGTTACCAGGCCACCGTGCATGGTGTCTCTCCTCTTTGCCTTTGTTTAGCTGAGTCCCCTCCCAGCAGCACCTTCCTCGACCCCACACCTTCTTCCAAGCCTCACCCAGCTAAGGAACAGCTGTGCACCTTTAAAACTCAAACTATCCAGTGCCATTCCCTCTGTGAAGACTCCCCAGACACTTCCCTCTGGGTAGACTTGGTGACACCTCCCCGTGGCCCATGATGGGCCCTCACATCCTTCAGTTCTAGCACGGACAGTTCTCTTTTCTTTCTTTCTTTTTATTGTTGTCCAATTACAGCTGTCCTCGTTTTTCCACCATTGTTCTTTCCTGCCCTACCCACCCCCACCTCCCACATTCAGTCTTCCCCACCTCTGTTGTCTTTGTCCACGGGTCCTTTATATATGTTCCTTGACTTGACCCCTCCCCTTCTTTTTTATTTTTATCTTTATTTTGTTGCTGTTGTTCAGTTACAGATGTCCTGCCTTTTCCCCCATTGCTCTCCCCTACCCCGTCCACCCCACTCCCACAGTCAGTCCCCACCCCCATGTCCATGCCCATGAGTCCTCTATTCATGTTCCTTTGTTTGCCCCTTCCCCTTCTTTCCCCATTATCCCCTCCCCCTGCCCCTCTGGTCACTGTCAGTTGGTTCTTTATTTCCAAGTCTCTAATTCTATTTTGCTCGTTGGTTTGTTTTGTTGGTTAGGTTCCACTTATAGGTGAGATCATATGGTATTTGTCTTTTACTAGCTGGCTTATTTCACTTAACATAATGGTCTCCATGGACAGTTCTCAGAGCATGTACTTGACTGCATGTCTGACCTCCCCAGAACCCACCAGAGTGCAGGCTCCTTGAGGGCAGAGGATCTGTCTTATTCACACTGTACCGCCATTGCCGGCACAGTTCCTGGGAGGCAGTAGGTGCCAGCTGGAAGAAAGAGGGAGGAGAAGGAGGGGTCATGGTGGGGCAGATGAGGGGCCATGAAGGTGGGCTTACTAGTCAGCCAGCTTGGTGATGAGAAGTCAGCTCCTCTTAAATCGCTCCACTCTAGTGCCTTCACTCTGTGGAAATAAGCTGATGTTCCCAGGTAGGGCAGAGGGGTGTGGCGTCTTCAAAGTCCTACAAATGAATGGCAGAGAATACAACACAAAGCCTAGACTCCAGGCTATTCTGTAAGGTTTGCCTAGTCAATGTGCCTTGTATCTAGCATAGGAAGCAGAGAGTGGAACAGAGTTCACAGCGCCCATCATGGCTCCTCTGACCCCAGAGCCTGTGCTCCAAGGGGAGACTGAGACTCGCAGCCCTAGCTGGGCCTCATGCCCTCTCCAGTGCCAGCCTGCATTGTATCCCTGGACGGACTATTCAGCCTTGCTGATCCTCCACTTCCTGGAAGGTTAATTGGCGGCATAGAGACAGCACTTAAAAACTGTTGGGGCCCAGCCTCTTCTCTTTCTCCAGAGAACTCTCTGGGCCAACTTACAAACCCCCACCCCCCATCTCTCCTGACTGTCTGCCTCTTCCCTCCACATAGTCTGCCACTGCGGTTTTGGGTCAACATGATCAAGAACCCCCAGTTTGTGTTTGACATCCACAAGAACAGCATCACGGATGCCTGCCTCTCCGTGGTGGCCCAGACCTTCATGGACTCCTGCTCCACGTCGGAGCACCGGCTGGGCAAGGACTCCCCCTCCAACAAGCTGCTCTATGCCAAGGACATCCCCAGCTACAAGAACTGGGTGGAGAGGTGAGTGCTGGGCCAGGGCTCCCCCTCCACGGTGGGCAGGGGCTTGCAGACGGGTCATTCACAAAGCCCCATCCTGCAACTGCAGCTCCCACACCCCGTGCACCCAGTATGGTCAGCTAACAAGAACTGGGAAACAGCTAGCCGTGGCCACCCAGCTCTGCTTCCCTCCGTGCGAGGCCCACATCTTAGTGGCTGAAATACTTTCTAGGCCCAGGAAGGAAATATAGTGCCCTGCTCTGATCACTACCAAAAATAAAAAATAAAAAAGACTTCAAGGGACTGAATAACATCTTGTCACAAAAAGGCTGGAGGCCTCTCCCCACCTGCCCCTGTCCATCTGGCAGTTCTCCCAGCGTTCTGTGAGGATGTCATTGTCACTCTGAACAGGTTCTCACTGTCCCAGTCCCTTGACTTCACACCGTAAGCTCTTGATGCCCTAGGCCTTGCAGTCAGTGCATTCTCAGCCCCAATCTAATCACGGTCTCATGCAGTGCACCTGTGACTAGAGGGCACCTGTAAGCTGTGGAGCTGGGTCATCTTGGTGCAAAGCCAGCTCCTGGTAGAGGACATTGTTTGTCTGGACTGCATCAGCGCTGTATGCCAAGCACCTGAGCTAAGCAAAGAGATGACGTTTTGCTTATTTATTCTTGATGGTAGCCCTGGTAGACAAGAGGTCAGGACTTATAACCTCATTTTGTGCCCATGAAGGTGAAGAAATATACATACAGAATGGCTAAGTAATGAGCCCAAGATGACTTAAGTGGCAAGATCAAAGTGACCCCAAACTCAGCTGACTCCCAATCCTCTTTTCTACTACTTATGATACGTTTAGATAGCGCATCTCTGCCAACCTGCATGGTGTCTCTGTGTGAATTCAGGAAGGTGCCCTTCCTACCGGAGGATGTGACCGCACACCAGGGTGCATGGTTTGTTGAGCACTTTTCCATAGTGAACAACCTGCACAACTCTACATGACAGTCCTGATTTTAGAGTCCCTTTCTCTTTTTTCCAAGTAGCTTAAAGACAGAAAACCTGGATGGAAGCTCAGATTCAGTACCTTTTTGAAGAGTAAAAGAGACCAGAAATTGTTCCCGACTTGGCAACCAAAGAAAGACAAAATGAACAGTATCGTTTCACCCCTGGCAGAGAGACATCTTTATACTTGTACATTGCCTGCCCTGTACAGAGGAAGGAACTATGAGGGGCTGGGGTCCTGGACACCTCAGTAACACAGTTCTCCTAAAAATGTTGACTTTTCTTTCTTCCCTCTCTCCTCTGCTCTTTGATATCCTCCCTACCCATTGCTGCTCGTGCATGTGGTGGGCATGCAGCTGTAGCTGTCAGAGAGAAAGCTAACTCTTTTGTTCTTGTATCTGATTGTGTCTGAGTTGCCGAGAAAGGCTCTTACCTTCCGGTGTAGACAGTGGCTCATTCTTCTGCCAGTGGACCTGCCAGGAGCAGGCCCTCCTGTGTGGTCAGCTGGCTCTTCAGTAAAGAGAGAGAGAAAGAAGCAGCATCTGGGTTCTTGGTTATCCCTGCACAGATGCAACGTCTCTGTGATAGGACATGGGCAGGAAGGCAGGGAGCAGGGATGTGAAGGGCTGGAGCATTTATGGAACATCTGTATAGAGGGCACTGCCCTGAACACGGCCACTTAGTTGGAGATCAGGATAATGCATGTGCCAGGCTAATGGGCTTCCTTTCACTTGGTGCTAAATGAGATTTGTGCCGCACAGCTGCTACAGGTCACAAGTAACTCCGGTCCATTTGGTTATTTTTCGCAATGGTTTGATGGCTTCCACTTCTTATCCTACCAGTTTCTTAGCAACCAATGGCACTGTCAGGAAAGCCATTTCCCTCCTGCTTCAAGTCCCAAATTCCTTCTCCTCTCATTCTGGGATGAGGGCACAAAGATGGAGGGATGGGGAAACTATAGTGACAGGTCTGGAGAACAAGCCCAGAGTGCTTCCCACTTGGTGATAAATGGGTCCGTCCTACTCTCACTCCCCAGGAAACTAGCCTCTGAGCTTGCCTGGCTCCCTGAAAGGGGAAGGGAAGTCCAGAGTGCAGAACTTACTCAGGACCCACAGCCAGCCTGGCCTCCCGCTGCCTCCAGGTCAGAAGCACAATGGTAGCACGCCCTCCTTTTGTGGCCAGGGCTCAGCCACCTCTGAATTCACTGCCTGGCTGCTGTGAGCATACAGCAAGCCTGCACAGGACTCAGGCTTAGGAACTCACTGCACCCTATACACTTTTGGAGTGGCCTTCTGTCCCATCACAGCTAAGAAACAGGGTTTATCCCAACTAGCCCTGTCTATCACAGGGGTAGAAAGCATTGGGTTCAGGAGACCTTATAACTCCATTGACTGAACAGCCTAGCTGCTGGGAACTCACCTACCCAGCCCTTGTCCCATTCTTCTATCCCTTTTCTGCCTCCAAACGCCTTGCAGTGCAAATGGTTCATGGCCTTTCTGTAGACTCCCAGTCTCCACTGCCTCCATTCAAGGCATCAGGGCTTTTGCCCATGGCCACATCTAGAGAAAGGAGAAGAACCCCTTAGTTCCCGAGCAGCAATCAGGGGCTACACTCTCTTACAGAGCAACACTCAGCCATGTTGTCGCCACAAACTGGTGTGTCACAATCAGTTGTAATTTCTATTTCATTACCAATAGCATGGTAATGTTCACGTTCAGTAGTACTTTCTTCTCGTTTTAAATCAGAAGAGCCTCAAGACTGTCCCCATGGCCACATTACCCTCACTCAATTGCAGCCATGGGCTTTCCATGTAGGATCGAGTGCAGCGAGTCACAGTTGGCCCACCGGGGATTGGATTAGGGGCGTGTCACACATATGAATGCCATCGATCACATGTGTCAGTGCATGAGAAAGGTTAAGAATTTTAAATATTTAAATATGCCTCCTAAGGAAACCATCTATTCAAAATATAAAGCTGTGACAGTTCACCCTGGGAGCAATACTGGAGGTGAAGTATAGACATTTCATTAACTTGTTCATTAATCCCTGGGTCAAATACGTATGGTATCCATCATGGGTGCACTGGGGACTCGGGATAGATTAGACTTGATCCTTCCCTGTGGCTCTCAGGGTGAAGGATACGCAGACAGGCACTGGGAAAACCCCACAAGCCATCATGGTGGGGCGCTCAGGGATTGAGGTCAGTGAATGATTCACGAAGCGGGGGACATTTGTGCAGGTCCTTGAGAGGCAAGTATCTGGGAACCTTAGAGGCTCAGGCACCAATGTTTTTCACGTCTGCTCTTTGTATTGAGGTGTTCGAAGGGATGAGAACACTTTGTTCTTCTCTAAGAGTTCAGGGCTTAGGACTACCTTCTCGATCCTAAAAGTAGGGATAAGACACCCACGGCCACACACCGGGGCCATCCCATAGCAGCCCACATATGTGGAACACAGCAGACTGGCCAACAGTGGAGACTCCAGCTCTCTGGGCCCTTCTCTTTAGAGCAGCTCACCCAGGACTGATGTCAGACCACAGGGTGCAGACATCCACCTGGCCTGAGCAAATGCAGCAGAGACAGTTGGCTAAGGCCAATGGTGGGGCCTGGACATCCTCAGTAGGCTTGGCTTTGGCCAGCCTGCCAGGCCCTGGCCAGTTCAAGGGGCATCCTGGGGACTTTCTGGAAACCTGTCTCTTCTGAAGAAGGACTCGCCTGCAGGCAGAAATGCTGTAGGAGCAAGTTCAAGTACAGGGGCTCAGGCTGACTTTTCCCTTCCTCATGTCACAGCCAGCTGATAAGAACAATTCTTTGAAGTTCATTAATAGGGCATAATTGTATTCTTTGCGATCAATAAGGTTACTTGGCGGCAGAGCCCAGCACAGCAAGGGCTGAGGAGGAAACGATTGGCACACAATAGAGAGATGCCAGGCAGGGTCATTATCAGGTTCAAGGAGTAGAGGGAAGTAGGGAGCCTTCAAGGCAGGGGTGGCAAAACTCTGCAGGTGGGATGGGCCTACTTAGCGCCAGGCAGGGCTGGGGTGAGGATGGAACAGAAGGTCCGCAAAGCCCCACAGTCATCCAGGGCATTGCACTGTCCATGGCTGCTCAGTCAGTGACTTAGAACTTGCTGAAATGAGGACATGCGGTTGATCCACACGTGGGCTAGTATGTGGCCATAGACAGGCACTGGTCCAATCCAGTGCTTCCACACATAAGCAACAAAGGAGACTTGGGTACTGCTCAGTGTGGGCCTGGCCTCGCGGTTAGAGAGACCATGCAAAGCGGGGCCAGGCAGGGTTGTCACACACGGAGATCCGCACCTCTGCCCTCTCCCGACTCTGCTGAACCCCGCCCCACCCCCACCCCTCTTTCTCACACAGACAAGCTTCCTAAATATTCTCTTCGGAGGAATGGACTGGGCTCTTAGTGTGCTACGAGCCATGGCAAAGGAACAGAGTGTGGACATCTGCGGTCTCCATGGAGACATGCTCCCTAACCTGGGCTCTCACATACCCCTAGGACCGGAAAGGCAGCAGTGGGAGGGAGTCCTGGTGTTTGCAAAAAGCCTAACAGAACTATCCCTCTACCTGCGAGAGGTTCGCAGGCAGGTAACGGACAGGGCAGGAGTCTGCTTCTGGCGATGGTCATGTCCTATCAAGGGGGACCTAGGTTTTCATCCTGGACAGTCTCTCTGACAGAGTGTGACGGCCTGGAGGGATCTTTGGACCCGGCCATGTTAGCAGCGCCAAGCCTGGCCGCCAGCTGTGGAACAGAAGTGGGAGACCTTCGTTCATGGCTTTTACCAATACAACTCAAGAACATAACCTGACAAACACATTCTGCTCAGTGGGCATGGAATCGTGAGGGGACAATGACACAAAGCTCCTTGGGAGTGGCTATGTTGGGAGCGACCACAGAAATCCCCGGGGTCTGGGCTATAAAATGGAGCATTGGCATTTATTGAATTCCAGAAATAGCGGCACTGAGTTGGGGCTCACTCATAGTGGATGGAACTCTATACCTGGAGTGTCATTCAGCTTCCTAAGGAACCTGAGGATGCGGAGGGGTGGGCGGCTGGCCTGGAAGAGCGGGCTCTTCTGGGGCGGAGCAAAGGAACCAGACTGACACAGGACTAGGAACTGAGGCCCCAGGCCTTGTGAAGATGAGGCGGAATCAGGGGGCAGAGGACCCCACAACGACAGAAGGTTGTGCAGGATGGGAGTCCAGGGGAGACCGGGCAGGATTGCCCCTCCTGAGCCCCCAGGCTCCTCTGAGAAAAGCCATTTCATTAAGCTCCTGTCCTTGTGCCTATCTCAACAGCGTGTCACAAGCCCAGACCTCCCGCCAAAATGCAATCAGCTCAACAATGCAGTTGGCAAGTGTGTCTATGCAGCGGGTTCCTGAGGGACAGGAGTGTCTCTTTGACCAGCCCCCTCCTTGCCGGAGGGCACGGATTTCATCTCCCTCCCACAGCCTTCCTCATTTTCCAAACAAAATGACAGGTCTGCAAGCACAGCGGGGCTGTGGCTCTGAGCAGGGCGGCCACCCTGTCCTCACCAGCCAGGGAATCCTCGAGCGGCCAACTGAACTGTCATTCCATTGCAGCCCCTTGAGCCTGATGGCTGGGGGTAGCGCATGAGGGCCAGCCCGTCACCCAGCTCCGCACACCGATGCGAGTGGTGGAGGTGGGGGACCAGGCCTGACGGGTTCATGGTCAGAGCAGTGAGGGATGCAGGAGAGACTGTACCAGGGCCTCTGAAAATACCCTTACAGTTCTCTGATCAAGCTTCAGGTTCTGGGCACTCCCAGGGCCTGCCCTTGGCTCCTACACTTACACAGGTGAGAGCATAAAACTCTGTGCCCCAGATGCCTCATTCTTGTCCTCATCTGGTGACGGTCCCTGCACCCTCCTCTATGTTAGGTTTCGGGCTTGCTTTCCCCAGCATTGAAGGTCCTGCAGGGCCTCCTGGCTGTGCTTCCCCACTGTCCCCACACCCCCCTGCCTTTGCCTTTGCGGTCACTTGGTCCCTGCTCTGTGGTTCCCATCCAGAATGTGCCAGGAGAGGGTCGGTGTAGCTGTCTTTGCGGCCCTTGGGCCCTTTGGTCCCTCATTAGGAAACTGCATGGCTCCCCTCTGGCAGGAGAGTCGGGGTTTGCTGCATAAAATGTCAAATTGCAGAAATTAAAAATGTAAATGCTGGCATCTAATTAACCAGTTGACAGCACTGCACAGCTGCAAGTGACAGTGACTGATTGCCTTCTGCCAGCCTCTCTCCCCACGCAGCCCCCAGCTCCTCCTGGTTAACCCTGGGGAAGGGAGGACATCAAGACAGAGCTGCCGCTTGGAAGAGCCCTGGGGCCTGTGGAAGGGACCTCTTACATCCAAGGGAAGGGGGAAGGGGTGTTAGGGGGACACAAGAGACTAGCTGGACCTAGCTGGGAGCAAAGCCACTGCAGGAAATGCCTCCTCTTTATTCCTGGTCCCACAACAGCCCACGCTCTGACAGCACCTGGTCCACTCCCCACATCCCTTCCCTGTGTCTCCCGCATCTGGAGCTGCAGAAGGCCCTCCCTGGGCAGACCCAGCAGCCCAGATGGGTGCGCGCCCACCATGGTCCCCAGGGGTCACACACAGGCATCCGCTGGCCCCAGACACCATGCTAGTAGTGTCCCTCTCTGCTCTCCTCCATGGGCTCAGCTGCAACCACTTTCTTCCCCACCCCCACCCTGGCAGGTATTATTCAGACATCGGGAAGATGCCGGCCATCAGCGACCAGGACATGAACGCTTACCTGGCCGAGCAGTCCCGGATGCACATGAATGAATTCAACACCATGAGCGCGCTCTCAGAGATCTTTTCCTACGTGGGCAAGTACAGCGAGGAGGTGAGCCCTGCCCTGCTGCCAGGCCAAGAGCACCACCCCCAGTCCCCTCCTACCTCTGCTGGGGAGACTGCCTCTCAGGACTTGGGGCTGAGCTACACAGACTCAGACTAGAAATGTTCTGCTCTATACACTCTACATTCATCTCTGTTCATCTCATATAGGTCAAGTAGCTGTTTCTTTTTCCTGTTTTTCCTCCTATTTCTTCCTTGCTATTTCCTCTCTTATTTTTTCCACTTCTCTTTTATCTAATTATTTTTAATAAGCAGTCCCCTCCCCCATGGGCAAGCCACATGGGATGGGAAGGGATGGGAGAGGAGGGGATGGGAGGGCACGGAGGAGGGAGGGGATGGGAGAGAACAGAGTAGACATAGAACACTTGTCGTGTTCCCTGTTGGAAAACCTCACCTGAGCTCACTGCCTGCTTTCTGGTCAGCACAGAGGTGTCTATGAGAGTTTTCTCAGTCACGCAGGCCTAGACCAAGTGTTCTAGTCCAGGCCTCCTGCGTCTGAGCAGTAGCATAACCACCCTCTCTATGCCCTGGCTCTCTACCTCCTTCCAGCCTTGTCACCAAGAGAGGGTCTATGAACCCCAGGTTAGGGAAGGGGGCCCAGCAGGGTGTACGGCCTGGTGTCCCACATAATGCTGTGAGCCTCAAGTGGAGGGGAAGCCGGCGATGGGCACCTTAGCGAAGGGACCCAATGCCAGCCTGCAGGCCAGTGCTGGCCCAGGACAAAGTCTACCCCTGTCCGTGGCCACATGACAGAAGTAAGGACAACCTAGAGTAGTCCACTGTATGAGTGCAGCTGACTCACCTTGGAAAGAGCAGTTCCTTAGTCTCCGAGGGCCCTTGTCCACAGTTGGTGTTAAAATAGAGTCCGTCTTTATGAAGCGTTGGTGCCAGTAACTGGTGATTCTTGGCCAGCTAAGAAGTTGCCAAGTCTATTCTGGTCTCCCCAGTTAAAAATACATTAACTGGGCCAGGAAATCCAAAGCTCTAGGAGCCTCTCCTCAAGCCTTCAGCCTCCTCCTCCTCTCCTTCCCCCAGCTGTCCCTGCCCCCTCGGATCTCAGCCCCAGTAGATTCACCCCTATTGGTTGCATGCCCCTCCCAGAGCAAACATCATGGGAAGAGTGCTCACGTATGTTACCTGATGTTATCCTTTCTGCTGATGCAGCCCAGAGTGGAGATAGCAGTTCCCACAGTTCCCACATTGCACAGATGAGGAAGTGGGTAACAAAGATGGGGTTCAGAGAGGTTACATGTCCCATCCCAGGCCACCCAGGTGGAAACTAGTGGACCTCTTACTCAGTCCCACATCTGAGCCTGAGTCCAATTCAAACACATTTTTCTGCCCATGCCACAAGCGCTCACTGTCATTGTCCTCCACCAACCATCTGATCTCAGAAAAGGCTTTGGCAGACATTATTCATTGGGCATCAATGACCAATACCGCTTAAGATATATTAAGCTTCCAGTGGTATTTATTTTTTCACAGACAAAGTGAGGCCAGATGAGTTAAGATTTTCCTTTATTGGAGGAGGAGATGGAGTTTCTAAATATCCACAAAGTCACATTCCCCTGAGACCCTGGGGTATCAGACTGTCTGAGGTTTAACCTGCAGGTAACTGGAGCATCTTCTGCTGGAGCAGTAACACTCCCAAGAGCACGGAAGACAGTGTTGTCTTACATGGTCAGTAAAATGTACACATTTATTCAGACAGGCCAATGTGTGTGCCGACTTGCTGTGCTTGTGGACAAACAGGCGCCCACACATTGTGCTCGTGGCCGGTGCCTACCACACTCTCCACCCCTGTGTTTACCCAGCAACTTCACGTGTGCAGCTCCACATGCACAAGTTTTCCTCCTGATGACATCCCCGATCTGCGCATACCCGAAGCACATGGACATATGTACACAAACTAGTAACCTCCCTGTTGTTGTCCCTTCAACAGATCCTTGGACCTCTGGACCATGATGACCAGTGTGGGAAGCAGAAACTGGCCTACAAACTAGAACAAGTCATAACCCTCATGAGCTTAGACAGCTGAGAACCGTCCTTCCAGGGCCCCCCTGGAGGGAGGGACACACCAAGCCGTGCCTCAGTCTAGATTATCATCTTTACCAAGTGCAAGTTCCGACTGGCGTCAGCAGCATCCCCTGAGCAGCGCTGTCTCTCTCTCTGCCTCTTTCGGCCTCTCCTTTCTTCCTAGATAGCTTCTCTTTCAGTTGCTCAGCCGACACAATTGAATCAAGCCACCAGCCCTCAGCTAGTCCAGGATGGCCAGTCCCGCAGTGAGGGACCTGACCAGAAGATTCCAGAAGGGGCTCTCTGATCCTGCTGACCCCATGTGTCAGCAACAGGGCCCACAAATGGATGAGGATACATGGATAGAGGACGTTTCTATGCTGCTATTTCACCCTCCACTTCTTGAGAGCCCCACATGGGTCCGAACCTTGGCCTAGAGAAGAGGCAGTGAGCTCAGTATTATCTTTGGTGGGAAGACATCACCTGGCTCTCCCATCCCACATTTCCATCTATAAGGGGTCAATCAGTGCTATGATCCCTTTGCAACTGTGAGAATAAAGGCCACATCGCCTGCGTATGTCCGGAGTTGGGGTCAGGGAGTGAGGAGTTGGGAGGTGTTCTGTGAGCTGTCTCTCACTTGGGTTGGCAGCTAGAGGCCTCCTTGTCCCCTTCCAATCTCCTTGGAGCTCTTCCAAGTGCCCATAGGGACCTGCCTTCCAAGTCTTCTTCCCTGCCTGTGGAAGGCCAGACAGAAGACAGAATAGCAGTTACGCTCTACCACGGGGACAGTCCTAACCTTAAAATCTGGCTCATAGCAGCAGAAATGTAACATGCAGGGGGAGAAGAGGAGAGTTCATCTACTCTGGAGGCAGAATTTGTTGTTTGCCATTCACACTCCCAAGTGCAAATGAATGACGACCATAGTCATAGGTGTACCATTGCCAGATCCTCTGTGTATAGAGAGGGCATCTCCACCCCCCTTGGCCATTGCTCATTGAGGGTCAACACAAAATGCAGAGTCCATCCAGGCACCCAGGAGGTTCTACTTCCTGCTGTCCCCGTGGCTCCATCTCCACCATCCTTCCTGAGAACTCTCCAGAACGCTGGAGCAGACAGCCTCGCCTCTGTGCCCCCTGCAGAATCTGGTGCCATTGCTATGCAGATGACTTTGTCACTGCACTGTCCAGAAATCCTCCTGGGGAATTATTTCATCAACATCTCAGCCGTGTCTTTAGTCACTTTCCTCCCTCATCTCTTAGCAGTCATCATGGAAAGAAATGCACTCAAGCACAGCCTCATAGAGACAAACCAAAATGCCAGCCAAACGCAGCCCTGGCCTGTCATGTCTGGGAGGGCCGAAAGTCAAGCTGAAGGATATGGCCAGAAATGGGAGGAGGAACATACAAGTGACCTCAGCCCTAGCATCTGCCTTTCCATCTGTCCTTACATCCGTGGATACAGCATTTTAGCCAGCCAGATAGATGCGTGCTCAGACATGGCTCCTAGGTGAGCAGGGGCTATAGTGAGAAGCGCTCTAATGAGTAATGGAAACCTGGAATGTCGAGGGGACCTTGGAGGCTATCTGGTCCAGTCCCCCACCACAAGCAGAAATCTCTCCTGGCAGCCCTGGTTGTACACCCTGGGAGACAAGGAAGAGCATCGTTTAAGAAGGGATTGGGCATGAGTCTTGCCTTCACACCCCCAGCATCAGACATCATTCCCTGCCATTCACTCAAAGGAGCTCCACGTGGAAAGGGAAAGGAAGCACATCATTTCCAACAGAGTCTACAGAGCATCTTCTAGTTCAAAGAATGCTCACCCCTTTGGATATGACTATGTGTGCATATGTGTGAGCTCATGTGTACGCACTTGTGCACGTGTGTGTGTGTGTCTGCCCCGGGAGTAGACAGAGAGCTCAGAAAGATTTCTTGTCCTATGTAGGGGGATTTTGAAATGTTTCTTTCCCTTCTCTACCCTCGCCCATCAGTTCATCCTGCAGGCCCAGGACATTTCAACTCATGCTTTCTATGCTGAGTGCTGGCAGGTGGAACGAAACGTCACCTGCCTGTAGGAAATCAGGGTGGTCACAGGCCGAGGGAGGCCTGGACTTGACTGGGGGTCCGGTGGTGATGACCCCAAGCAGGGCATCACGTGGCATCAGGGAGGACGTATATGGTGGAAAAACTCAAGAAACCTAACCAACAGGACAAGGAGAATGGGAAAAGATGCATGTCAAGGAGGGAAAAAAAAAATAACCAAAGGTTTTGGCAAATGAAATGCCAGGCGAAGAAGCATGGGATTTCTACCCCTGATCATTTGATTTTCTCCCAGGAAGCCAGGAGCCCTGGCAGGCCAAGAAGGAAGCATGTGGGAGGCGGGCTGAGGAAGCAGCCCGGCCGCGAAAGTATTTTTGCACATGTGAAGAGTTGGGGAGGAGAGAGACACAAACATATTTAACACAGATTTGCTGAATGGAAGCTGTGTGTGCGTGTGTATGTGAGTGTACGTATGAGTGAGTATGTTTTGACTTTTAAGTTTTGCACAGATAGAGAAAAAAATGAACAAGCAGAAAAAAAAAAAGACTGTTATCATGGATCTGCTAAAGCTTTTATTTTTTACTGGATTATTATTATTGGTATTGTTCCTTTGTCGGTACAGAACTTTTTTTTCCATGTTTTTGTTATAAGAGAAACTTGGAACACCTCAGAGAAACATAAAGGTCAGGAAGAAGGGGAGAGAAGACGAGACAAGTTTCCTCACTCTCATTTCTCCTGAGGGAAGAGTTTGGGCAGATTTTATTTTAATTGGTGGGATGGGTTGTTGCTGGTGCTTTGTTTGCCCTCAGTCTCTGTGGCCTGCTTGGGGACAGAGGGGACAGAGAAGTAGGACAGAGTCACGCAGAGCCACAGCCCATCTGGCCCGTAAAAGTTCTTTCCTTTTGCTGTTTGTTTGTTTTTCATTTCTTTCATTTGATGCGCATGTGATAGGTTTCGAAGTAAAGACAAGGCAGCATTGTCAAAAAGCTGCCCTTTCCCCAAATCTTTCCAAAACTCCTCTTGGAACCTCTGATCTCTTGGCAGGCCCAGGCGGCATGGGCACCAGATGCAGTCCAGGGGTCGGGAGGTCCCCTCGAGGCTTTCCTCTCTGTTGCAGTTCATTAGCAGGGTCACAGTTCTGTTTAAGGTGGGACCTTTATAAGACTCCGAGAACTGGGCAGAGAACAGGGGAGGAAAGGACACCCTTCCTTTACCTTTCCCTGCACTCCCTTCTGTACCTTCCGCCCTGGAGACCACCAAGGTCAAAATGGTACCCGGGATGATGCAGTCAAAGAAACTGACCTGGATTAGGTGGGGGATTTAAATTGGAGGGAGATGGGCTGAAGGCTGGTAGGGTAGGAAGTGGGGGAAGTTTTGTGGGGTCCTGAACATGAGAGAACGGGTGAAGAGAAGCTGAGAAAGGTAGCTACAGGCCGGCCATTTCTGGGGGGTGGGGCACAAGTCTACCCAGCTATGGGCTTTGCCGCTCTGCCTTGCTTGTAAGGAGAGCCCCTGACACTTGTAGCTAACGAGAAACAGTGCCATTAAGTGAGGTTGGCTGTTGTGTCACTTACTTCCTCAGGAAAATACTTTTACTTGCCTCCTTCCTTCAGTGTGGTTTTAAATGGGGAGACCCCCTGAGTGACCCACAGGCCAAGGTACGTTCACACCCCCAGAGTGGCATGCACAGCCACGGGCAGGCCCGGGAGCCCGCGGGCCAGCCAGTGTGGCCCCAGATGTTGGCGACAGAGGCGTTTTCAATGCATCCCGAAGTCTGAGGCAGACCACCCAGGACTGCGCCCAGGCAGAAGCAGGAGCTCTGACCCATCCCCTCAGTCCCAGCTCCCACCTCCCACTCTGGGGGTCATGTCCATGTCCTGTCCCATCACTTCCCCATACCAAGGTCCTTGTGCTCGTGTCCCCCTTGCATGTCTGGCTTCTGTGTGTGCCTGCCCTTTGTCCCACCTCTTGCCTACCTCCTGCGCGTGTAGCCCCTGCCCGCTGAAGTGCCAGAGTCACGGAGCCCGTCTGTGGGCAGCTCAGTCCTCACAGCCCAGCCCACCGACTGCCCCAGGCCCACCCTGAGGACCCCTGACCCACCCTCCTAATGCTGCCTCCCTGTGTGGTCGGGCGCCCTCGTCCAGCCGGGGCCCTGTGGGCCCCCATCGGGGGAGCCACAGCAATGACCTCCCAAATGACCTCCCCTCAAGGGCAGAGGCAAGTCCTGCTGATGTAGCTGAAGTCTAAACAACCACTTGCTTTGACCTAAAAGGAAGCCCGTTTCCCGTCTGTCTCCTTTTCTCCTCTCTCAGGACTGAGGGGACACTTTTTTTGGCTTCCCAGGATGCAAAGTGAAATACTCAAGCTAATGAGGGTTAAAGTGAATTATTATTAATGAGAAACAAACACTCCCGGCTCCCTACGCCAGGGAGGGAAGGAAGGCGCGGGGAGGTGCCCTACAGGCAGCAGGCCCACTGACGTTTTCCCCTTGGCCCTCCCAGGAATGGGCCGCCCAATGTGCAGTCACAGTTCTGGTCTCCGAGAAGCATTTCTGGGAATGAATGACCTCCAGGTACCAGGGTCCCCACATGCCCCTGAGAAAAACTCCCTCCCCCAGCCCGCTCCCCGCCATACATACACCTCAGGCAGATCCTGGCCCTTTCCTGGCCTTTCCCCTCGTTCCTAGTTCACGGCAAGGACCTCTACTCCGCCCCTTGCTCCTTCCGTCGGCCCTCAGGACAAGCGACTGAGGACCCCTGACCCCCAGCTCCTCCCTTTTCCTTTAAATTGTGTGTGGGCTGTTTATTTGGGGTTTTGTAGTTTTTATTTTTTATCTGTATATTTTAAGAGCTCGAGATTAAGGAGGAGACCCAGGTGTGGATATAAAGTCCAAATTACTGGCCAGGAGGAGTGAAACAAAACTCCACCTGTGACTTCCAAGGGCCTCAGGAGGCCGTCGGGGCCAGGGGATATAGGCTCCCCATGTCGTTCCAGAAGTGGTCAGGACATTTCCTGGCTGTGGACATGCCAGGGGAAGCGTCCCCTGTGGCTGCTAACATTCTTGGTGCTTCCCCAGCCCCTCTGGTGGCTAGAGCCAGCGCTGCTGCCCTTTCTCCTGTCTCCCGCTCCTGCCACATCACCCCCAAGGTGTAGCAAACGAGCGCCTTCTTTCACAGGTGGGAGGCTGAGGTACAGCCACAGGTGACATTGAAGAGGCAGCTCCCGAGAGAGGCTGGCCCATTGCAAACCTCTTCAATTCCTGGTGCTCAGAGGTTGGCAAAGCCTTTCCCTGGAAAACTAAGTGACCACTCCTCTTTTTCAGAAAGGAATCTCTGCAGTGAAAGCTTCAGACATTCAAGAGAGACTTTTTTTTTTTCACTGAAAGTCTTTGCTCCCTAAAAATTATTTTTTTATTAGAAGGGGTATCCAACTTTTTAAAATATATAGGATTTTTTTGTTGTAAAAATAAAACATACTTATTAGAGTACCAATTAAATTCCTTGAATAGACCAGTGACTACCCCAAAGCAAACTTAAAGAAAACAAAACAAAACAAAACAAAATTCCTAATGAATAAAAAGGAGCTTTCTATTTGTATTGGCAGAGAGGGTGAGGTGGGCCTGGGCCAGGTGTCCTGGGTCCAGTGGGCCCCACATTCCTGCCACTCCACCCCCTTACAATCTATCCAGCTTCGGCTCTGGCTGCTGCTGATGTCGCTGAATCCTACCCATTTCTCATCAGCTTCCCCTAAACTGCAGAGAGACCCTGTGAGGGATTGGTCATGGAGGAGCCCCAGTGCCTCCCTCAAGAAGACACATGCTCTTAGCAAGTAGACAGGCCTATGCAGCTCACCTTCCATGGGTTTCTTTACCTGGAATTAGAACTTCTTTTGTTAGCATCTTTGATCTTCTGACTCAAGCACATTTTGTAGAGGATTTATTAAGGAGCAATGCAAAGGGCACTAAGAAATGGAGACCACGTTACCAAACAGGACTAGTGAACGCAATTCAGGCACATGACCAAGATGGGGTATGTGTCCTTGTGTATTCTCCTCTCTCCCGTTCCTTTCCTGATGTTTCCTGTCAGCTTGTTGGCTCGTCAAACTTTCTATCCTTTAAAAAGAAAAGCTAGCTTACCTCAAAGAATCTTGTTTCCATTTGGAAACCAATGACTTTTTGTTTTGGTGTGGACAGCCCTCCCCTTCATCACTCCCTGCCTGGGCCTGGTGGCCTTGAGAACCAAGGTCCTGGCTATGTATATGTTGGCTGCCCTGATCAAGACCAAGAACCCAGGCCCTGAGATGGGAAGGAAAAATTGAATGCCGCTGCCCTCCTCCCCACTTTAGCTTGTAGGGACCGGCCTATCTCTTCCAGCGGGGTCTTGATGAGTTACCGTAGTGACCAGCAACTCCAGGGTACCACAACAGACAATGGCTCAGTGAGCCAGGCGTGAGGGAGAGGACTCTGCCTGGTTAGATGACCCTGAGTTAAGTCTCCAATACTAGAGGGAAGAGGAGGAACAGGAAAGGATGAATGGGTGGTTTAAGGAACAAGAAGGAGACTTTGCATCTCAGAGAGTCCACTGAAGGAGGTAGGGCAGGTCATTCCTGCTCTGGTCACCCCGTTCCAGCCCACCCCACCTCTGTTTCCATAAAGCTCCCACCTTGAACACTGACCATGAGAACAGAGCAAAGCATTAGACAACAGTGTTATAATAAGCCTCAAAGATAGGTGGGTGAAATCTATTAGAGGATGAGGGTCTTCTGGTTTTGATTTTTAAAGAAGAGTATCCTAGTAAGATTTAAAAAAAGATTTTAAAAAAAGTTTTTAAAAAGGAAACCTATGCTATTTCAATTGGAGCCCAGTTGTAACTTGGTAAAGGCAAGCTCCTGTACCTTTGTTATAATTAATTGTATACCTGTGTATGTAAATATAAGGCATTCCTATTTTGCAGTTCAGAACAAAAAAAAAACTTATTTGTAATATAGAATAAAGTTTATTAAAAAATAATAAAAATGCAGTTTGGAATTTGGGCTATTTCTTTTTGTGACTGGCTGGAAGGGGGCGGGGAGAAGGTTGTCCATAATCAGGCAGTGATGGTCGACGTGTTGTAGAGATATAGCACCTTCTCTTTTTGGCTATGTGATGTCTAAACTCAATCACCAGAGATGCATCCTTTTACCTAAGGCTCTGTCCTCGGTTACAGAGCAAATGTCTCCAGAAGCACTGATGCTTCAGGATAGGGAGAGACCGTGTTACCAGCCAGGGCTGTGGTCAGCAGACATCTCTTCTGTATAAAGCACAATCAGCCTCCGAATATACAGCCCTCCAGGTGCACGTTAACCCATCGATTTGCCCCCTGAGAGACACAGGGTGCCACCCCTGGTATAAGGCTTCTTGGCAAGCTACACCTAGTGTAAATGATTGTATCAGCCCTCCCACCCCGCATTGATAGAGTATGGAGATCTTGAACCCAGTTATGTCTCCAGGGTCAAAATAAGAGAGGGAGGAAAAGAGAATGAAATGGGTGGTAGCAGAGGAAGGGAGCAGGGAGGAAGGCAACACTTCTGCCTGCCGCAGGCTTCTGTCTGTGGCCCTTGCTGGCCTCCGACAGGTAGTGGGGGGTGGGGAAGAGGGAAGTGAATGCAGGCCCAGAAAAGCTGTGCCCTCTGTCTTTCATTCAGTTGGCTGCCCTTGGGCATAGACTTTCCTTTCTGAGCCTGAGGTCAATGTATGGAGAAGGCTGAGCTGGACATCTCCATGATATTCCAATGTTCTCTTATTCAAAGTGAAAACTTGGAGAGAAGAGGATCAGGAAGAGAGCAGGTCAAACAAAGGAGAGATAGATGCATTTAAAAGGGAAGAGGAAGGAAGGTAGGAAAGGAGTGTGGAAAGATGTAAGACAGACCCTGGAGGTACCCAATGGCTGATCAAACTCCCAGCATGCCCCCCCACTGCCCCTATCTCCCTGTTGCCCCCAACCACCTACCCTTAGGCTTCTCCAGCCTTCAAAGCAGAGGCCCTGGGGGCATGAGTGGAGAGTGTTCACTGGGATGGGACTTCTGGGGGCCACAGAGAGAAAAGTCAGGAGGTGACATGGTGAACGACCCACAGGGGTGGAATCCTAGCCTTGCCTGCAACACTCCCTTATCTTCCTGTTGACATATGGGGCAGCGACCCAGGAAGAAGCCACACTCAGCAATGAGACTGGCAGACGGCCCTGTACAGCCAACGGTGAAGGAGCACCTTCAACCCATGTGGGACCGCATGGGAACAGACAACACCTAGGAGGAATTAGTGATCAAGACCTAGCACACACTGAATAGGTTAAGATCAATACAGTAGTTTTTGTTTTTTTGTTTGTTTGTATGAGTAGTTCAGACTCACAGGGACAGTGTAATTCATGAACAGAAAGATGTGTCTCCCTTCCCCTAAATAGTGAGGCAGGCTGCCTGCGATGGTGACCTCACTGTGACAGTTCAGACTGGGATTCCACACACGGTCAAGTTCCTGCCATGTCCTCAGGCTCCTTTATCATCACTGTCAGCCACCATGACCCACAGCAGATCCCTTCTCTGCGACTCTTTCCTTATCCATAAACTGAAGATAGTTCTAACTGTTCTATGAAACCCAGGGGATTGTGGGAAGAGTAGACTAAGATAACTAAACTGAAAAAAATACAGTGCACAGTGAAGAGTCATACATGCACGGAGAATTGTTATTAGTCATAAAAATGATATTGTACAAACAAAACAGCATATTGAGCCTGGGACCTCAATAACAAATTTCGAATGTATGCTGTATTAGCCAGCTTGGGCTGCTATAGCAGAATACCTGAATGGGTGGCTTAAACAACAGACCTTTATTATCTCACAGTTTTGAAGGCTGAAAGTCCAAGGTCAAGACACTAGTATTGGTCTCTGCTGAGCCGTCTCCCTCTGGCTTGCACACAGTCAGCCTCTGTGTCTTCACATGGT